CCCAACCCCTAGCACTACACAACATGTCCATGAAACAAACACGTACTCTCTGATTCTAAAATAAAATTTTAAAAAATGTTAATAAAAATATAAAATGGAAATCTTTTGAATTGTATAAAAATGAAAACAGTATATCAAAATGTGTGAGCTGTAGCTAAATTGAGAAAAATGTATAACTTAAATGGTATGAAAAGAAGGTCTAAAATCAATGATCAAACTTTCACCTTAAATAGCTGAAGAACAAATTAAACCCAAAGTATAAGAAAGAAAATAATAAAGAGAAAAAAAATCAAATAGACAATAAAATCTGTGAAAAATCAATGAAACCAAAAGCTTGTTCTTTTATTGCAAAACAACGTAAAGCATGATGTGTTCAACAGAAAAGTGCACAAACAACAAAATACACACAAACACAGCACAATGACTTATCAAATACCACACAAGTACCACTTGACCAAGAAAGAAGTCCATGACCAGTACACAGGCACCCCTGCATCCTGCTCCATCCCAATCACTAACCTCTCTGTCCTTCCCAAAGTAATCATTATCCTAACTCTTACGCCAATGACACCTTTGCTTTTCATTATTTTATCACCTATGAAGACACCTAAGAACTTAAAGTCTAGAGTTATTTTGCCTGTTGCTTTTTAAACTTAATATAATCATAATATAGTATGTACTAGATGTGTTTGTCAGTTATTCACATATCTTCCTTTGTTAAATGCATGTTCAAGTCTTCTTAACCCAGTTATTTGTCTTTGAAAAGATCAATGTAAAAACTGATAATCTTTTAGCTACAACAGTCAAGGCTTTTTAAAAAGAGAAAAGATTCAAATTACCAATATTAGTAATGAAGAGACACAAAATACAAATCTTACAGACATTAAAAAGAATAAGGAAACATTATCAACAACTTTATGTCAATTAATTTGAAAACCTACTTTACACAAAATAACTAAACCAGCTAGGTGTGCAGGAATATTTAAAAATAAACACTTAAGGAAATTTCTTACCGTTCAAAAACCTTCAAAATTGCCTTAGATCCATGTAAAACCCTAAGCCAATTGAAAGGGAGGACTATATATCAAGTTAGCTCCCAAAATACATCCTAAGTGCCCATAATGTGTGCTACACACTAACAATTCAAATTTAAAACACGTTCTTTTCTTTTAGTTGTGCAATCTTCATTTGGCTAATGACTCTTGGAAAAGCAGATGTGAAAAAGAGACCACACTAGTTTTATTAAAGCTCATAATGCTACCATTTATTAAAGAAGGGGGGAAAAAGCAAAAAAAAAGTAATAATTGTGATGGGGAAGGAGAGACAGTTTAACAACATTCTTTCTCTTTGAAATAAGTTAGCATAAAGAAAACAATATTATATGAAATAGATTCTTATGATAGGAAAAGTAGTACTCAAGAATACATTTTTGGATATAAAATTTCAGTTATGCAATCAGTAGCATTCAAAATTAGTTATGAGTATCTAGACATTATAAAAATTGATTCATGTTTTAACAAAGTGTTTTAAAGATCATCATATTAAAGCAGGCACAATGTTCCGAAGGCAGATAAATTCACCATGGGCTTTTAACCGCTCTCATTCCCAACTTTACAATCAGAATTTACAAAAGCAGCAAAAGATCAGCGTTCAGAGGGCTATTTTTTCCTTTGCTTATTTAAGGTTGCTAAGTAAAGCAAACACATGGGAAAAGGCAAAATAAACACCCTTCTTAACAGAAAGACCCCAAAACTGAACCAAAACCACAACTCTCCCTTGGGTACACAGTACAAATTCATCTGTACTCAGAACAAGGTTCGTTGCCTCTTGTAGTATGGACACCCGACAGACAGAGCGCAGCATTCACCCAGACATTAGCCTCAGCGTGACTTGTAGGGATGCCTCACAAGGGTGTCATGTCCAGGTCGCCACTGGTAACATCAGGGCCCATCTGTTCTTTTGTTTGGTTTGTGGGGGTTTTTTTTGTGGCTGTTTATTAAATGTAGTGGCATCACTTTGTTGTGAATATACACAGTGTTCTTACTAATTATAATGTTGTGGACTTCTTCGCTTTATTTTTTTTTAAGCAAGTTATTCCAGATCCTGAAAGGCCTTTCATTTTAAATAATAAAGTTTCTCCTGTCTAGCGGGTTCACTTCTCCTTAGTTTCAGACCATCCCATCTACAAAAAATCATTTGTACATTTCTAAGCCTGCCACCAGTTTATCAGCCCCTACTTGGAAAGGATGTCTTTTGCTGTCAATTTATACTAACAAAGGCTCTGCTGCTCCCCACTTACCTCACTGCAGCAGAAAGCTGATGAACCAAGCGTAAAGCTGAGGACCAGGGATTTGGGAATATATCTGTGCATTTAGGGCAGAACTGGAAATAACCAAAGTGGAACCAAATACCCTACTCTTCAGTGAACTGAGATCCAATAAATGTCACTGCATATGCTTCACTCAACTAAAAACACACAAGATCACAGAATTTCATAAAATTACTAATTAGAAGGTACTTTAAAGTCGCACAATTTGACCTCCCAATGTCTAAAATTTCCAAAAAATTTAGACTTCTAGTCTTTTTTTAATATATTATCAAGAGTTACACAGATATAAATCTGTATTTAACTTCAGCTGAAAGTCTATTCACTTTTTTAAGAATGCTGTTGGCAAATAAACTGCTTATACATCTTAAACTTGCCCCTTCCACACACACACACAACCCTGAATTTTTAAATCAAAAAACTGCCAAAAATCTAGTGAATAACCTCATATATCTTTAAACATCAATTTTTTAAAACATTTATTTGCTGAAAATGAAGTTTTAGTGTAAGTTGTGAATTTTAAAGTTTTCATAATTCTGCAGTTAACTGTAGTCAGAAATTATCTGACCAAAGAGAGGATGATATGGAAAGCCTAGTGTAGACGATCCCTCAGAAAAGGGAATCCACAGCCACAGGGCTGCATCTTGATTACCCAAAATACTCCATTAAGTCTCACCACTAATGCTGAGACATCTGTACTTCCATAGGGCTATCAAAAGCAGAAGCCTAAACACCGTTTAGGGTTCAGTTACTTAATAATCATCTATTATAATGGAAGTATCAAAAGTGATTTTCTTTGAAAGGCATCTCATGATTTTATCTCTTGCTCCCTGAGCACACAGTGATTAGGGTGGAAGGGAGGTGGCACTCAGGCAGATAATCTACAGTCACACACAATGAAGATGGATAGATGCTCCAGCACTAAGACAACCAACCCGGTAGAAATGATGAACTGGGGATAGCATATCACACTTCCCAGAGATAAAACACCTTGCGCCAGAGTCTGAGCTGCAGCTACGTAGAGGGGAACTAAAGTCTCCCGAGCACATTCTGCAAAAGAGGAAGCTTTTCCGATAATGGGACAGGAAAGGGGAGTCAGTGAGTTAGTACATGACCTGCCTGATACCCAACAAGCAGTCTCAGAGGGATGGGAGGAAGGGAAGAGAGGACAGAAGTCACCTCACCCACCAGCTTGATTTTAACCAGTGCGTTGCCTGGTAACAGAGTAAGGCAGAATCTATTGAAATGGATTTCTTCCTCCCACAGTCCAGATGAAAACAAGTATGGAAACAACTGGAGGATAAGGCAACTGAAGGGTAAATTTAGGTGTTTGGAAGATCCTGGAAGGTGGGGTCATCCAAAAGCTGCCGACAGCGTCCTGACCAGAGCTGTCTGAGCAAACTGCCCAAAGCCACAAGTTAGGGCAAAGCACAAGCCCTTATCCAAGATCCATCTCCTACCGAGAACCCCCTCCCTGATTCCCTTACCCTCTGGTACATGCCCCCTCACACTCGCAGGGACTCTTTCTCTGCAATTATACAGGCAATGCCACTCGCCTGCAGTTCTTGTGAACATGAAATGAGATAAAACACAGCAGTGTCTATAGCACCAGAGACAGGGTGCTAGTAAGTGTTTGTTCAATAAGTTAGTGGTCAGAGACATTTCTCCTGTCACCCTCCAAGATCATTAGTTATTTCTGGAATTAAACAATAACACCTATGATTTACTGAGATGTTATACTTGGTCCCAAGCTAAGCACTTGACACGTCTCACTGATACCTTGCAATGATCCAGAAGGAATCGCTATCCACAAGATTTTTAAGCAGATGAGCCGACTAAGGAACAAGACATTAAATAACTTGCTCAACATGACCCAACTAGTGTGTGACTGAGCCACAGCTCACACCCAGATCCATTTGACTTCAAAGTCTATATTCACTGCTACTATGCTACACAGCCCTGGTAACATCTTAAAAGGTACCTCAGTCTCATGTCCCACAAAGTCAAATCCAGTCTTTTAGGTATTTTACTCCAGCAATGTTGTTGTGATCAGTCAGACTCACAACCACTCTGAAGAGAAGGAATCATGGGCCCTGCTGACCTCTTCCACGCCCCTTCTGACACTAGAGCCCTTCTGAGATCTGAACTGTCTCCAAGAGGCACCTGGGATGTGAAGGAACCCCACAACAGCTCTAGAATATAATTTTCCTTCCTGGGTGAAGGCAGGTTAGGGACCTCACCCCACAACAGGATGCCCTCTACGGCCTGAAAAGGACCTGGGAGGACTGGCTCTTCCCTCTGGCCCCAGCAGGCCTGTTTACACTCCCCAGCTTAGAAGAAAAGACCAGTCAGACAGAGTTCTTAACCATAGCAAGACAAAGAAAAGCTCAGCAATTGGCCACAAGCAAGGGTCACTGCCTTTGGTTTGGAAGTGCCAGAGCAGGAGCCCAAGTGGACCTGTTGACCTCAGGTAAAGAGCAGAAAGGCAAATCTTCAGGGTGACTTGGAGGCCCCGGAGAGCCAGGAACTCTGGCTGACAAGACAGGGCACGGATGATGGTCAGACAGCGAGATGGAGCTGAAAGGAACACAGAGGATAGTGCACATCCTGCAGACCCAGAAGAAAACCTCCAAAGGGAAATGGGCAGTGAGAGTCAGGTAGAAGATGACACAAGTGATGGAGAGAAGTCAAATCAAGATCATCAGTTATTTCTAGAATTAAACAATAACACCTATGCTTTACTGAAACGTAACAGGCACAGGCTTGGCTGATGAAAACAGAGACAACAGTCATAGGCAGTTACAGAAGGTACAACCAGGGCCACGCTAGGAAACACTAGTCATGGAGGAGGTGGAAGCTGTGGTGCCCAGGTTCAGAGCTCAACTCTGCCACGGCTGTGGCTCTAGGTGGATCTAGAAACCAACCTGGGCCTCGATTTCCTTGACTGCACAGTGGAACAGCAATCTCTGCTTCATCACAGGCTCTCAAGAGGACCAGACAATATCATGGGCACAACAGCACTCTGCAGTGGTTAGGCACCAGGCTGAGATCTGACCCCCTGCCATCCATGAGGTCCTCCTCTGTGTCTCCAGCAAATGCAAACACTGGGACTGTGTGAAGGTCACCAGACAGGCGTGCCTACTTCCTGCTGGCCCCACAGCAGGGATCTATCTCCCCACCGGCTCTTCCCCAGCCCTGCTCCAAGGTGAATGGAAAATAAAATCAGTTCAAAAGCAAACATTTATAAATAACAAAGAAAAAAATACATCTGAGAGCAGTAAAATTTTTCACCTCCTATCGGCTCTTGTCCAAAAGGAGATAGCAGTGTTTTCTGCTGCTGCTTTGTTCTTTCTCGATCTAATGCTAGGAGGTCATAAGAAAAGATATCTAGGGAGAGGCAGAGAGAAAAGGACAGGAAGACAAACCCACGGGAAAGAGAGTCTGCACCCAGGATGAGGAGATACATTCCGCAGTCAGCGTAGGGCTAGAACAGCAAGAGAGCCTAAGTGCAGCCTAAGAAACAGCACATATCACCAAAGAGCGCTTATTTTCCACTTCACTTTTCGGACAGGCTCTTCACACACTTGTATAAGGCAGAATTACTTGCTTCTAGTGGCCAGAATAGAAGCATGTCCACACTAGGTAGGACAGTGGTGATGGCTTCCATGCTGAGGGACACAATGCAAAGTCCCTGTTGACCCCCAAATTTTTTCCCTTATTGTTGCTCCCCTGTGACCTCTGATGGGGCTACCTGCTGCCATCTGGGAAACATTAGCCCCCAAGGCTTATCTGCTGCAGAATGGGTTTTTATAAATGAAAATTCAGAGGACAATATACAAAGAGGAAACCAGTGCACGAGGAAGCTTCTACTCCAAAAGCTAAAGAACTCACTTCTCATAGTGTGCTTCTGATTCAGGTTTGGGAAGCTATCGTTGCTATCAAAGGCAACCCTCAAATGTTCAAATTGCAAGCAACAATTGCTGCAAGATAAAAGGCACGTGTCTGTAAGACAGAAATGTAGAAGGTATTTACAGAACTGTCCACCAGCTTCCATCCATAGGGTCTTCCAAAGTTTTGTAAAATGGGCCATATATTATGCAAGACATGCAGCAAAACACTTCTTCACAGCATCCCTAGGAAGGAAAAAACACAAAGATGAATGGGACATCTTCACTCCAGAGGCCCCCAACCTTTAGAGTTTCTTAGGTAACCAGAATGGCAGCTACAGAATAGAAAGCGCCTGAACCAAGAAGTCAGATCTACTTAGCAGCAAACTTAGCTACGCCATTTTCTGCCAGTGTTATCCAGCATGGTTTTTTCTTTTTTTTTTGAGTTGGAGTCTCACTCTGTCACCCAGACTGGAGTGCAGTGGCACGCTCCCGGCCACTATAGCCTCGACCTGCTGGGCTCCGGGATCCTTCTGCCTCAGCCTTCCAAGTAGCTGGAACTACAGGTGCACGCTACCACGCCTAGCTAATTTTTGATTTATTGTAGAGACGAGGTCTCGCCAAGTTGCCGGGTGGGTCTCAAACCCATGAGCTTAGGCAAATCCACTTGCCTCAGCCTCCCAAAGTGCTGGGATTACAGGCTGAGCCACCAAGTCCGGCCATCCAGCATGTTTGAGTTTCAAATTCCTCATCTATAAGAAAGGACAAGGAATCCCCTCTCACCCTACAGACTGGCTATGGGAATTGGTGCATTGCACAGAATAGGTATTTAATAATCATAACGATCATTATCAGAGAAAAAGATGAGGAAGTATAGACTGCTGGAAATGAAGAAATTTTTCAGGACTGCTGCACTTTAATATCAACCATAAGCACAGAATGCATAGAAAGCATTAAGTTAAACAGTCACTAGGGCTTTCTTCATTCTAAGCAGGCAGCAAAAACTCTAAAGGACACCTCTCAGGAGCTCCCTAACACAGGGAGCCATGGGTACCAGGCCGAAGCTGTATTAACCCTATTATGGATATCTACTCCCTAGAATTCAGTGGAGGGAGTGCTCCACTGAAAGAATGGGTACTCCACAATTTACTATTCTATCCAAGCCAGCATCTCCATCTCCACCCACATATTTTGCAGTGCAACGTGGCACTGGGTCCCTCAAACCCCTTCTGTGTTCTCAACTACACTTGTACTAAGGATAGCAGGAGTCACACAAGGGAAGGGGAGTTGAAGGAACACACTGACACTGCAGTTTAGTACCAAGGGGATTCAGAGGCAGAATTTCTCAAGTCCCAGGAGGTGTTCTGCACAAGTAGGGTTGTATGGCCAAGTCAGTCCCCCTCATGGCAGCTTACAGTACACATAGCATTTAAAGGGTCTGGGAAACCAGGCAAAGAGTAATCTACCTAATTCTCCTTAACCTGTTTCCCAAACTTACTTGGTCACAGAACCCTTTTCCTCCACAGACTGTTTCTGTGGAACACTGCAGGAAAAGCTATTGTAGGGGAAGTTATAAACAGAAGGTAGGAATGAGTTTTGTGATTCCCTCCCTATTACAGGAAAGTTTCATCTGCTCAGCACATGAAACTCGCATTTCAAACAGAATTCCATCATTCGTTCTATCAACCACTTGTACATAAGTGCTACACATGCCCACCCAGATCAAGCCTGAAGCCCTGAAGAAAGATACCAAGCATGTTTCATGGACAAGACCTATATAATTTTACTGGGCTCTGTACTTAGAAGGGTCTACATTGGGTTTAATGCCTTGATGTTGCCATCTTTATATTCTTAAATCTTCTTTTTAAAAAAGAGCCACATTTTCATTTTGCACTGGGCCCTGCAAATTATGTAGCTGGTTCAGGCACCAAGATATATTCAGATGTTGCGCAGGCTGATCGATCTCATTGAATGCTCAGCTATGATGGGCTCTAGCTTAGTTCACATAAAAACCTAGTTGCCCAGGATATCCTGCCCATATTCTTCTCAGACAAGCCACTACCCCCGAAAACTGGCCAGGTCTACATGGAGTACTTCCTAACTGTTAGCCTCCTGGAACCTGTCCACAAAGTCAGCCAGCTGTCTTGAACACGACAGGCTGTTAACCTCCCTTCTGATCAATCATTCCTTGGCACTTCCCACAACAGACTTGGAAAGAAAGCATAAGACTGTTCTTCCTCTCTCCCAGGTCATGTACCATTTTTCATATCCTTAGTATATAGTTATGTAATGGTAAAGAAGAATGGGAGTCAAATAGCTGCATGAGAACTGAGAAGCAAGATTATAGGGCTCGTTTTGGAAGACCAATCCCTGGAAGTACTAATTTAAGAAGGCTCAGAGCATCAGCACTACTTTGTAGCCAAAATGGACCTCTGAGGCCACAGGAGTCAAGAGTTGCTCAAGGTCACGTGATAATCAGGAAGCCCTGGTCCTCTAGAGCCCTGGCCCTGCTTACTTTCCCATCAGTGGGATACTGCAATAAAACAAGCATTAGATTCCTCCATTGCTTACTAAGTGATATTCAGCACTAAAAAAAAAAAACACCCACTCAAAACCCCAGGTAAAGAGTAATAATGTGCATATATGTATCATTTATCAGAGAAAAATGTTCAAAGCATAAGGAATGGTGGACCTGGGTCAACAACCATCATTAGATATATAATTCGGGCAGGGAAGGGGTGACCCTTAGCTTACTTCTCTATAAAATAGATATATGACATTTGCCTATTTGGTTCAAAGTTGTTTAGTAAAGATAAGTAAAATAGCACACACTCTCTGAAAGCACACTCTAAATTAGAAGGCCTCCTACAAATAAATTATTGCCCACAAAAGACAGAAACTGTATTCCCAAATACATAGTTAGACTTACCTTGCAAATGGTATGAAGGAAAGGCTATACCTACAATGTAAAACAAAAAAATATCAAATGGAATGAAGGGAGCAGACGGTGACACAGCAGAATGGGCTTCTGAGACAAAAAGCTTCTCTAGTGACTTACCCAGACTCTCTCCCCTCCTCAGCCTGGAGGTGTGCACACAAAGGCCCACTCACACACACACACACATGCACACATCATGCCACAAGATAGCCAGGTGGCCATAGAAGGAGGACAAAAGGTTCATGCAGAAATAACTCCTGTAGGACCTCAGCCTCACTGGGGTCCTGCTTTAACCACACAGGCCAATAGCAATCACCTAAAACAGGCAGATGCTAGATATGGCACAAGAGCCATATTATAAAAAACACCAAATAAAGCCAGATCAGTTGAACTCTTAACATTTAACAAATCCTAAACAGAATTTAACTTCTACCTCATTGGAATATATTTTCTGTTCTGCTCCTATTAATTTTAATAGAAACAAAACAAAACAAAAAAACAATACCAATGACTCTATCGATGACAATGTAACAAGCCCACAGACATCTTGGTAAATCTCAGCTGGCTCAACCCTATTGCCTAGAAGGGAACCATGCAGGAAGGAGTCTCCATGACTCTAAAGGACCAGGCACTGCGTGTCAGGCACACTGTAAGCTGGTCAGCCCTACAGAAAGCAAACACAGTCAGAATATGCCAGTGTCAGAGACAGCATCACCATTCACCTGAGCTAATGTGGACACTGAATCTCGGAAACTGGCTTCAGAACCAGTCCATAAGCAAAGAAAGGTGTTGTGCATAGGGGTACCAAGTTCTGGATATGAAAACATAAACATCAGCCACCAAACCAGGCCCTTTCAGTACCTACTTCCAAAATGAGCATGTTGTATTAAAATCACACCACCATCCTTCGTATCTTACACTTACCATGTACAGAAGCTCATTTAATTATAAACATGGTAAATTCCAAAAGGTAATTTGAAGGTTTATTTATTGAAAAGTACAAAACCGCTAAAGAAAAGGATGGCGGTTAAGCTTATAGTCTCAAGATTCATTTCCACTAAACATGAGTTAACTGATCCATGGGAGACTGAAGACCTCCACAGCCTTCTCTCTCCTTTATATCACAGCAAACACTTTTTTCCAAAATAGATCAATTACATCTAACTAAAACTGTTCTGGCAGATACCATACTTTGATGAACTTTAAATTATGAGAGCAATGTCTTAGAAGCTATAGATTCCACATGTACCCTCGCTCCTCTCACTCTGATATTTTACAGGTTTGAAAGGGCCATGAACCTACAGCCCCAGACAGGGTTTCAGATAGGAATGTTCAGTAGCCCTCTATGATGCTCGACTCTTCAGTTCAACTTCTTGGTCTTCACCTGGATTACCAATGCCAATAGGCCTCCAGCATGTGTACAGACCCTATAGCACTCAGTGTCTATTTCATCAGTGGCTGCTCCCACCACCTGCTGACGACTCACGCTTTCCTTTCTGTTCAATGATTGATTCATTCTATCACAGATGGGACACTCATTTTTCTTACCACTTTCCTTTTTGTTAACATCTGTTTGACTCACAAGCCCCTTTTTTACCAGACCTTATGATACTTTCATTGTCCTTGCACTTACTGGACATGAGTGGTTTAATACATTCGTAACATCTCAGAATCAACCATGAGCTCAGCAAAAATGCAGAAGCAGGCAAATGAACAGCCTCCGGTGACCACACAAGACCACTGATGCCATCTGCTGGCAGTGAGCCGTCCACGGGCACTTGCCCTGGAGCCTGGTTTCACTTGCATCATTAAGAATTCGTAAAGTAATGAGCTTCTTTCTGTGTTTTCCTAATCCTCCTACCAAGACATGTGGGCTTTATCTCCTTTAGCTGCATTAGTCAGAGGGCTATGTGGGAGGGACTGTTTAAAAGGTTACTTACCACGTCAATGCCAAAGACTGCAAAATGCAGAAGATGAGTGCGAGTCCCTTGTTATGCCACTGAAGGAAAAATGATATGGTTAAAGGAGAGGTGGTGACAAGGGGCAAAAGCCAAAAAAGGCTAAGAACAGTTAAAACGTGCACTTACCCAAAAGGCAGAACACAGGGTAAGTACAAAACACAACTAGAGAGAGAAAGGAAACATTATTTAACTAATACAAAGACAATGAGACCATGCAAAAAAAAAGTTATTCTTGGCAAACTCAAAACAATTAGGCTGCAGTAATCAGATTCTGTGACCATCACAGCAACCACAAACCATTTCAAGGCATTTAGCCCACCTGTGTACCCACATTTGGCAGAAGTTAAAATCCCCACGAAATCAAACTGGTTGATAAAAATTCATGGACATTAAAAAGAGAAAGATGCTCTTTCAAGTTGTCCCAGAATCTCTGCCCAGCAAACAAAACCACATTATCAGCCTATCCATCCATCCATCCATCTTTTCATACAAACACACCACAGTAAGCTTAACACAGACCTCTGTATTTTAACTCCTGCCAAACGCTCTTCTCTACAGTAGAAAGGGCAAGCAGGGACAAAAGGTTAATCTGAGATGTCAATCTCACAGTCCACAAGCCAGTTATCTGTTTACATGTCACCTAACACTTCCCCTAAGGCCTTTCTTAGAAAGTTCTTTCTACAGGAGACTTGTCCAGGCCACTGACATCCGGGGCTGGCCATCAGCCATGCCTTTCCTCTCCATCTTTCTATAACTGTAATTACTCAGTAAATAGGTCCTACACATTTTCTCTGTGTCCAGCACTGTGCCATGCCCAATGCTCTGAAAAGATACAAAACAAATCGAAAATGTGCTCATGACTTCAGAGAACTTACCGATGTGAACAAATGGGATGTTCACAAACAAAACCAAACATAAAAGTATGTTCAACAAGTCCCAAACGTTGCAATACTCATTACAACAGGAGTCCAGAGAATGTGGTCTAGAATGATTTCCATGACTCCATGGAAGAGAACAAGCCAAAAATGAGAACGGCATTGTGGGTGGATGGGACAGGAAGATATGATAAAACCGAAGGCATTGCTGTTAGAGGATGACAGGTCATAAGGAGGCCACCTCCCCTTCAGGAACACTAATGAAAACAAGTAAATATTATCTGAAAGTCAGACATTGATAAGAAAAAACAGCCCATCCCAGAAGACTGGATGCCTACTCTAGAGAATGCATCCTATGTTTCTGGGTTCTTCCCTCTAACCTCTGCCTGGGGATGGCTTCACTAGTCACCAGAAAAGTGTCCAAGCTCTTACTACCTTTGCAGTTTAGCTAATTTAACAAGCAGCGCCCTCTAGAGGTATTTTATAGAACTGGTAGTACCTTGACACCAACAGAAACACAAAGGCAGGAGGTAATTGTTAGATGAAGAATGCTCTCTTCTGCTACATAGTTACAGGATTTGAGTAATATGTCAAAGCAACAAAGAGAAGAAAATAGATCTTTAGGTTTTAGGTTTAAAAGGGAAACATTTTCCATATAACAGAAATCAAAACTTCCACTTCGAAGTCCTGCAAGAAAGCAGAACTTACCAGCACCAAGATAGTTGCAATCAAACGTGTAGGCTCAAACATTCGCTTCAGCTGCTTCACTGGTCCCATGAGGAAGATGGTGCTAAGAGGCAAACACACACACAAGCCATTCAGACAACTGCACGAGGCACACTGAGTCACCGCCCCAAGATTTCCTGTGAGAATGACAGCAGTAATAACAGCTAACATTTGAAAAGTGCTTACTCTGTGGCAGGCACTGTGCTTAAGGGCCTTTTGCACGTTATTCTCACTTAATCCATCAACAATCTATGGGATAGGGACAATTACATACTGAAGTCCAGGTCACCCAACTAGGAAAAATTACATATTGAAGTCCAGGTCACCCAACTAGTAAACAACAGAGCTAAGCTGTGAATGCATGTGGGTCTGACTCTAGAATCATTCATACCACTATGCTGGATGACTCCTCTCTCTGAGAAGTGCTACTTTGCTTCCATAACAATCTATCTATGGAAATAAACAAACCAAAAAGGCTCAGACGATTTAAAAATGAAAAGCCTTACAGCCTTACATCAGTTATGTTAAAAAGTGAGCATTTCATTGTCTTCATAATCTCCAGAGAGTTCTAATGATGCTAACAATATCACCTGTCATTTGTTGAATGTTTGCTAAATGACATTTACTACATATGAGGGGGACCCCAAAAAAACTAGAATTATTTCTTTGGAGGGCAGCCTCTTGTAGTACAGCCTTCCCCCAAGAACCATCAGCATCAGTATACCTGCTAGCGTTGTTGTGAGAGGCTGCATTCAGCTTCAGCGATTTTTTAGGGGAGATTCTTTCAACGTGTTTGCCCATCCCATGATGTGTGTTATGAGTGCATCTGCCACATCACACCGAATGTTCAGCAGTTTTTGACCCAAAACGGCAGGACTCCCACGCCCCACCCTCCCTATTCATCAGATCTTGCCCCAAGTGACGTTTTTGTTTCCTCAGATGAAGAAAGTCCTCAAAGGGAAAAATTCTGCTGCTGTGGAAGAGGTGAAACAAACAACAGCAGAAGCACTAAAAGGCATCAAAATTGATGAGTTCAAAAACTGTTTAGAGCAGTGGAAAAAGCACCTCGATAGGTGTGTTGCATCAAATGGAGAGTACTTTGACGGTGACTGGCATTTAAATATGTAAAAATAAATGCACAATTTTTAATATATAAATTCCCATTTTTGGTCCCCCTCCCTTGAATAGTCCCTCATTTCATGCCCTCAACAACTATGTGAGTTAGGTATTACACTTATTTTAGAGATGTGAAGATGAAGTTCAGAAAGGTAAGTTTACTCATCTAAGACCACACAGCTAGGAACTCAAAGAGCTGGCACTAGACCCCCATCCACTGAATTCCAACTCTGAAAGACACCCCCAGCTACATTCTGCGTGAATGAACTTGAGAGGTGACAGATGACAGCAATCACAAATGAAGCAGACCATCATGCTTAACACAACAAGTGGCAGAGCCAACCTATGGTGTGTTTCTTGAGTCCTGAGGAAAATGCCCAGTAGCGTCACTCCAGTGGTAGCTCGTTATAAACACAAATTTTAAAAAATAAGTCTCCCACTCTTTGAAGTGGCATTAAGTTACAACTTGAAGTCAAGGCTGCACTCTCAAGTGTCCCAGCTAAAAGTGCACCTCCTTAGCCTACACTGAATAAGAAGCAATGGCTAAGGCTGGTCTTAAACATTAAACACATTATATTTTAAAAATACAAAAATATAAGAGCTTTATGTAAAGCCTCAAACTGTTATGCACACCTGGAAATAACAACTTTCTCCCTTTCCTATTTCCCTACCCAGTACCATGAAGAGCCCATCTCATCAGGACTTGCTGAACAGTTCTTCTGGATTAAGCAGCACACTCACATATCTATCTCAGCCTAGAGTACACCATATAACCTACACTGTCTGCCCAAAACCAAACTCCCACGAGTTGGTGTTGGAGAAAGCTTTAGGGACAATACTGGACATCTCTGAGGGTCAGCATCTTCACTGTAATGAGCACTCTAAATTACGCTTTAAGATAGTGGCCAGAGTCATGCACTCAACTATATGGTTAACATTTCCAGCCATGCAGCAGCAGGATACTGTTGGGGTTGGGGGTTGGGGGTGGGGCACAATGTCAATAATACCTGATCTTAAACCAGGAGAAGTGGGAACCAAAAGGAGGCCCAAACTTTACCTGTATGATGACCACTTGTATACCTAATCCTGAATTGTACCCCACATCTTTAAAATAAAATAAAAACAAATTAAAATATTTTTAAAATTTCCAGTCAGACACAGCTGGAAACAAGTAAGACAGGGATGCAGCCCTTGTCAAGTTTAGCTTATAGACTTGTAACAAGTAAGTGTCATAAAGTGCCACCATAAGTATAGACAGGATATAGAGAGCCCAAAAGAAAAGGCCATCAGTTCTGGGGAGGAAGAGAAGTAATCAGGAAAGTCTTCACTGAAGAGGTGACTTTTGAGCCAGGTCTTGAGCAGGTTGCCACCAAACTAGGGGAGATACAGATAGGACACCACTCCAGACAGAGAAAACAGCCTGAGCAAAGGCACAAAGACACTTGGAGAAATATAAGTTCAGCCTGGCTAGGAAGCACACCGAGTGAGAAGTGGGATCCAGGTGAAGCCAGATCTCAAGGGTCTTGCGTGTGTACGTGCTGAAAAGTTTGGACTCTACCTGGAGGGAGGGACCAAGGAGTACCTCACAGGGGTTCAGCAGGCCTATAAGTGAATAGCTCCAAAGCTCACCAGAAAATGGCCTGGAGAGGGGAAGTGAAGAAGTCAGAGAAACATAGCAGAGGCATCAAGTGTTTGGGTGAGAGGCACAGATATGGGCCAACGCCAAGACAGGCTCAGGTGGAAGCCCTAGAAGACAAAGAGGCAGAAGCCAGGCAAGATGGATCTACTCTAAAGCCATTTACAGAAATAAAAGGGAAGGGAGAAGGAGGAGGAAAGATAGCCGAGTTCAGGTTCCCATGGGCCATTCAGGCAGACACCAGGTCAGTATTTCCGGCTGAGAGGCCGGACTGGCATTGTCAGCTCAAGTGTGGCTGAAGCATCAGTGCAGATGAGCTTGACCTGGGCCATCTGTGCACCTATACCATGTGGAATGGGCTGCCCACCTGCGGGAAGAGCTCCATTGGATGCCCTGCCCACACGAGCTGCTTCTCAGGTCTGGGGTGATCTGACACTAAATAAAAATCAGTTTCACGTATGGCCACCATGAGTGGGGTAAGTCCTTTTAAAACTCGGTCTCTGACAGAAGTAAGACTACAGCAGTGGGTAGAGTTGTGATGATGCCCTGGAGAAATCATTCAACTGCTGTATCCTATGCGAAATCACAATAGTAATATATTTCCTACTTTCTCCCAAGTATTTTAAAGATAAACTGAGATCTAAAATTATAATAGGATATGAACGTGATATATTTCAACTACCTCTTTTAAACTCTCCAAACCCTTAAAACTACTGGAGCACCCACCTCCACCTCCCTCAAGCATACACCCACACCCATTTTCCCATCTAATGACTGGCTAAGTTTGGATTTAAAAAAAACAAAAACAGTTACCTCCCAATTGATGCGATGTTACCAAAGGTATAAAACACTGCAAAGAAGTACAGTCCCTTTTTGGGCAGCCACAACAGAAGAGTGCCCTAGAGGTTAAAGAACAGAGTGTTTCACATGAGCAATCCCTCCTTCCCACCCATCCATGCCACCAAGGGCTCACAGGAAAATCCCTGAGGAGCCTGGGTCCCTCCCCATTTCCCTCTTCTTTCATCGATGCATTTCAGTGAAGAGCAAAAGGGAAAGGATATAGATGAAAGGTGGAAAGTACAGCAGAGAAAGGTAGGGGGGAAAGACAGAGGAGGGAGGGAAATCTTACCAGCAGCGAGCAAAAAATCCCTACAGCAAAGCACGCAATGAAGCCTTTGACTCTGGTACCCCAGCTTAAGGAAGATGCCTCAACAACCTGAAATTGTAAAAAAAGATTCCATATGTGTATATACATATTTACCAAAAACAAAGAAAGCACATGCTTAAATTTAGAAACAGCATTAATTTGTACTGAGGCAGGGAACACAATCCTGCACACAGCCTCCATTCATGGAATCCAGTCCATATCAGAGCTCTCATCCAGACACGAATCTCTTCTCCAGCAGCTGAGACTCCCTGCCTTGAGCACAATCCACTTCACAAGCGGGAAGGCAAGATAGCTGACCCTAGAGGAGCCCAAAGTCTTCCCACATCTGGGAGACAAATGAGGACAAGTCCCAGGAAAGAGGACAGACGAGGGGATGGCACTTGGGAAGCTGGTCCCCGGTCACACTCTCCTACATCAAGGGTCATGCCATTCACTCCTGTTACAGATGATGCACTGACAGAGTGCTGGCATCAGCCACGCATCCAACTGTGAGACAGATCTTAGTTAATCGATGACTGCCCTGCTCATCCTGATTCTCCGCCATCATGATTAATCCCTTCCCAGAGCAAAGTTTACGGAAGCCAAGACTTCCAGAAAAACTCTAAGTCAGGAGAGCCCATGAGTAGCTCCCAGGGGTTCTTTTCCCATGTCTAAGATCACAGCCAAGTCTTTGCCCCAGGTACGTTGCTCGTCTGTCCACCTGATGCAAGTGGGCACAGCTACCCCAAGCTGGACACAGGCAGCTGCCACCAAGACACCAAAGTCACACAGGCCGCCGCCACCAAGACACCAAAGTCACACAGGCCGCCAGGCCCACGTACAATCATTCACACAGCACTTGCCCGTGTGGCCGGCAGTCTCCACCTGGCAAGGTGGTCAGAGCTGCCTAACACATCCACCTAGCTGATGGAGGAGGGTAGATGGTGGCAGAGGGTGCAAGGGTCACTTGACTGGCAGCTCCCCCAGCCTCAACTTGCCCCAGCTCAGGGATCTGTTTTCAATCCTGTCTCCAGAGTTCCCGTCAAAGCAGAAGCTTGAAGAGGTCTAGAGCCTCCCCCAGGTGTGGCAGGTGATGCTGCAGAATGGCTTCATGTCCACTCAGGAGAAAGGAATTTAGGTCAGGCTAGCAAAAAGGGTGCTCTCCCTACCCCCCCAAAGTCATACATATGGAAACAGGGCCATGAGACTGCAATAACCCCCCAATGTCCACACCCACACCCCCAACACATTTGCAGAGACCTGTGGCAACACAGGACCATGCACAGATGGCCCACTAGGGGATGGTGACATGAACCTGACAGGGAAGCCATGAGGTTCCAAGCTGGGGAAAGCCTCTCCCCTTGGGGAGTTTCTTACACCCCACTGGGCTCCACAGTGAGCTATGTGACAACGCTCTGTTATCAGGCCACACTGAGCCCAGACAGTCTAGTTAGGTTACTTCTGACTAACCTGTCTACCCACCCACCAAGGACACAATAAAATGAGGAGCCACCACTCTTCCTACTCATGCTAGAACCAAATAACTTACCAGGCAAGGGTGGAGGAAAGAACCCAGGCGCATGGAGGGAAAAAAGAGTGGTAGCAGGACCAGGTGGATTGTTGCTTGAGCACTATGTGGCATCCACCAGGATACTCAAAAAGATTCAACCTTTTTTTAACAGGATAAACCAAAGGTTAAGCATCGAACGTGAAGCAGCCTCGGCCTCTAGAGTGCTAGTCTCAACAGGGCAGTGAGACGCCAGTCCTCATAAAAATCAAAGTCACTGGCAGTAGAAAGCAGCTCTGCCAAAAATATGCTTCTGGCTTCTACTGGAACCACAAGTCTCTCAGCTGAATCCATCCAGATGTCACCTCTTCCCCAAAATGGCGGAGCAGGGGGATTTTGCCACTGTCTCTCCCCCCTATGCATGGCTGCAGGTTCCTTTGCATGCACACTGGTCAGGGAAAGAGGAAGCTGCTGCCCTACTTCTAACTGGACTCAGTGAAGGCAAAATACTTTTTTTTGCCAATTTATGAAAAAAAAGTCATGAAATGTCTCTCTCAATTTGTGACTGCTGGAAGCTGTGCTAGAGTGCTTTTCTGGAAATTAGCACCTGGATAAATTTTGTAGGCAATGTGCTCACAAGCAGTGTGACCGGCAGTTACTCACAAAGGTCTCTTTGACTCTGGAATGTGGAGAGAAGAGAGGCTTTTGCCAAGAAGTAAAGTTAAGAACTGTTCAGGGAAACTGGATTCTCCCCAGAAGGTGAAAAAGGAATACTGCTTTGTTCCTGTGCCTTAGAATCAGGTACTATTCACACCTTCCTTACCCTAGAATCCTTTATAAAAAACAAAACCTACACTTTCAGAAAGAAGTCCATTGAAGCTAAAGACTTAAAGCGTATTTGTGGAAATGAGGCATCTAGTAGATAATTCATTATGAGGCTATTAATTTCTAGATATTGTCATGCAAATCCTATAACTACCTGAGAGAAGTAGGAAAAACAGAACTAGTCATACTTTTACTATTTGCGTTAAAAGAATAAAAAATGTTTAAAGCACTCACTTCAGGTGATCTCTTGCAGAGATTTTAAGGCCACCTAATCCAACTTACCACACAAAACAGAAATTTCTCCACAGAATCCTCCAGCTTCACTAGCCTCAAAACCATGAAAAATATGAGACAATCAATATTTTAAAGGAGGCCCTAACCTAATAAGTAAAAACTAAGCCAAATAGCCCTGAAGATGAAGTCTGTCAGCAACAAAATATTTCCCAAAAGTTCAAGATTCTGGAAGTGTCATACAATAATGCATGTGCACATACATCTCACTCAGAAAGAGGAAACTAAAGTATTTTAGAACAAGAAAGAAGCACCTATTCTTCTTTTTTTTTTTTTTTTTTTTTTGATTCGGGAGTCTCACTTTGTCGCCCAGGCTTGAGTGCAGAGGTATGATCACAGCTCACTGCAGCCTTAACCTCCTGGGCTCAAGCAATCCTCCTGCCTCAGCCTCCAGAGTAGCTGGTACTACAAGCACGTGCTTTTCTTTTTCTACACACCCAACTTTTCTTTTTCTTTCTTTCTTTTTTTTGATATTTTGTAGCGACAGGGTCTCACTATGTTGCCTAGGCTGGTCTCCAACCCTGGGCTCAAGCAATCCTCTAGCCTTGGCCTTCCAAAGTGTTGGGACTACAGGCGTGAGCCACCACACCCAGCCTTATCTATTATTTTTAAAACAGACTTACTTTGTGCCTGAGTTTATAACACATTAAAGCCCTTCACTGTATCCAATGTAGCATTCACCATTTTAGATAAGAACAAGCTCAGCATTTATGTCTGCAAACATGACTTGAGGGTCTGTCTACCTCTTGATGATGATGTTTCAAATGGCTAATATCACCATTATTCACTGTCAACACTCCACCCTCCCCAGCCAAAAGCCTTCAGGAAGAGAAGTGTCTTCCTCTTAAGCACCAACTGCTCTTAAGAGCTTGGTGACAATGAGGATCAGCTACCTGTCAGATCTAGGCCAGGTCTGAGGTCTGACTTGAGAGTTCATAATAAAGACTACAAATCAAGAAAAAAGAACTCATGAAATTACTCCTGAGCCTTGACCAATTAAAAAAAGCAACAAATTAGAAAGAACCCACCAAGCTGTTTCCAAGTGTCAAAAACAAAGTTCAAACTTAACTCTTTTTAACATTCGATTCGTATAGGGATACTCTTTCAAGGGGAAGATTCAGAGAGGGGGCTTTACATTCTGAGATTTCATGGAGGGGTGGAGGTACCAGTATCATACAAAACAAAACTCAAAATAAAATCAGCAACCACACAAGTACGTGAAAGCAGCTTGCTGCGAAACCTGGAGAAACACGACTAAATAAAGTGAGAGGGAAAACAGGTTTCCAGCGGAAAGAGGCCATTTTACAGACAGGGAAACGAAGGCTAAAGACTATAGCAAAAAGAGAAATGCTAGGCATCAGAAAGGAAAACAAAAGCACCTAAAATAGCAACAGATCACTCTGTATGGTTCTAGAACACAGGCATTAGTGGCCACACTCCAGCTTGATCAAAGCCTTTCTAATAAAATAAACACGCAGCAGTCTCCTGGGGCGCGGGGTGTCTACAGAGTCTACGAGGGGATAATGTGGACATAGACACTGATGCGGTCCAAGCTCTCAGGGAGTTCATGGCTTCGCGGCGGAGACGGTCTTCTAACTACAAGGCGACGTGCACTCGGGTGGGAGTGTCCCACCCTGCAATTTAACCCCGCAGTTCCCAGGCGCCGCCGAAGTTCC